ATATGTGAATTTTCAATAGAAAAATTTATTCGGTGATTCACATTGCGATTATTTTATTAACTCTTTTTAATTATATAGTTATAGAGATTGTGACAGTTATATTTATCTAACTTGATGTTTCTCACATCTCGAGTTGTATGAACAAAATGAATTTGACGTGGTCTACTTTTATAGGCATGAGGTAAAAAAAGTGAATAAATGTTGTGCAATGAGCTATGAGCTAAAGCTATCATGCTTTATCATTTAATATAATATTTTATTGACTTTTTGAAGAAAAAATAATGACAAATTTTCATAATTATCCCATAGCGGTTCACAAAAAAGAAATGTTTAAAATTTGGTGGGGAAAATAGCTTCAATGAATTTATTTGAGTTTCCATATATATGGAGAAAATTAGATTATTTATTTTTTTCAAATTAAGTCATTATTAAAAATTAATTTAATAAAATAATATATTTTTTTAGAGAATTTTATGATATTAATATAAACATAGTTATTAATAACGTTTTACGTAATATTTTATTAAAAATAATAAAAAAAAGACAAAAATATGACTGAGTAAACAGACATAAAACGTTAGTTTCAGTAATGTTTTTTATTTTTTTCTCTGAGGCACGTTTTGCAGCTAAAACGCAAAACGTGACTCATAATAACGTTTCTCTGGATTGATTAAAAACTAAAATTCAATCTCATACATACCTCATTCAACTTTATTAAATTTCTCTTTATCTTCTCTTTTGATAATAAATAATACTTTTGTAAAAAAAAAAGAGAGTGAGGAGGGATTTTCTACAATATCAATTAATTCTTTTTGTTAATAGTTGTTTTGCTTAGTTATTGCATCAATTTTAATTCAATAGCTTCTTTATCGATAATCTAATATTTAATAATTATAAGAAACTAATTGGTCTAATATTTGGAAGGGATGATTATTTAGGCTAGAAGAAGATCTCTCGTATGATTTATTCACAAATTTTGAAATTGAAATGATACAAGACAAGCTCCAATATGTTCAAAGTCTTCCTCACTTTTTTTTTACTTTTTTTTTTTTAAAACTATTGTCTATGTATAAAAAAGAAAGAAAAGAGAAAATCATATATATTTCAAGTGAAGGTATGTACAAAATAAATCTATCATTTGAATCGTGAAAATTTGAATAATACGTGTTTTAGAGTAACGAATTACAAAACTTTATTGATAATAACATGTTATGTCAAGTCACCTGTTGAAATCACTTTTAGCAACAAAATCATTCTAACTACTATTACCTCTGTATATTTTTAACTGTCATATTTTTCTTTTTTAGAGCCAAATTAAATTATATAAATTTTGACTAATATTTTACAATGTATTTTTTATCATATCAATGTAAAAATTACAATTTATAATAATTCAATATGATTTTTGAATATCTAAATTTTTAATTTCAATATCAAATTAGTGTAATATAATTTAATTTTAAAAATAAGTTAAAATTCACTTTTTTTTAAAAAAAATGTAATATGAATATGATAAGCGAAAGTATTACACTTTCTCAAATAAACTTCATTACTATTGCTTCGATTGGTAATTATGTTGGATGAGTCATACAATGGTCAACGTTAGCAGTTAGATTTCCACCCATTATTACTACGTATGACAATTTTAAAACTATAAGGACTAATTTTGAGTTAGTGTATATTTCAATGACTATTTTGAGTTGATGCTCAAACTTAAGGGACTATTGTAGAAAATATTTTTCTCAACTTTCTCTACACCGGAGAATGCACAATTAGACCACCAAATTCCGGGCTGTGTTCGCTGTGCGTCAATCGGAGATTGCACAATTAAATAGCGGGGGCCGTGTTCGCCGTCGAGTAGAGGTCTGGGTTACTGTGGTACTCTTTCGCCTGATTCTGTCATCCATTTTAATTGGTGAGATAGCCTCTTTAGGGTTGAGATGCAGATTGACTAATAATGGGTCTGAAAAATCTGAAGCAATTGACGCCTTTTATCAAAGAAGCATTTCAGCAAACATTACTCGTAGCCAAATTCCTCTGTGGTATTCATGTGGTCAACAGCTATATCTGCACCTTAGCTCTCGTACGATAGCTTAACCAGTAGTACTATACTGTTTTCTTAGTTTACTACTTCATGCTTTGGACCAATTGCACTGCAATTTTTAAATCTGTATTTTGTTTCATATATTTTGGGCAGACTCAAGGTCCAAGCATGCTTCCAACGTTTAGTCTGACTGGAGATCTTGTTTTGGCTGAAAGGCTATCAACTCGGTTTGAGAAAATGCAACGTGGAGATGTAGTGCTAGTGCGTAGCCCTGAGAACCCGAGAAAAATTGTGATCAAAAGAATCATGGGCATGGGTAGTGATACTGTTAGATATGTTGTGGATCATGCAAATAATGGAATAGAACATACTATTGTGGTAATTCAGAATTGATCAAATACCTTCATTTACAACTGATTTTCTCCTCTTTTGCAGTTGGTAAATGTTTGTAGTTTACTTTCAGGAGCTAATGTAGTTGGGTTTTTGCTGCCCTATTTTCTTTGCGCCGCTCCACTTTTGTTTCTTAGGTGAATATGCTTTGAATGTGAACAGGTACCAGATGGACATGTTTGGATTGAAGGGGATAACAAATTCAATACCAACGATTCGAGGAACTTTGGACCTGTACCTTATGGACTTGTACAGGGCAGAGTCTTTTGGCTTGTCAGTAATTCTTCTCTATTTTAATTTTTAGCTAATTTGCCAAACTGTTAGGACTTTATTATATTTTGGAAATATTTTTTGCTTAATTTCGTGGAACTGTTTTCGAAGGTATGTTTAACGCCATCATATTGCTGTCCTTATGCATGCCATTTGATGATTATGTTTAAGACAATTTTTAATTTTTTTAAGTTTGAATTGGTAAGTCAGATTTTTATCTTTGTATTGTTTGATAAGATTAAAAGAATAGCTAAGTCTCCTGTAGGACTTGCCAGAAGGAACACCTGCCATAGGAATCATGTCTAGCTTGTGCATAAGCAGCATTTTCAGGGGATTCTATTGTGCTAAATAGTGTGTGCGCTGATTTTATTGGTACTGTTTGGTACAATTTGGTTAGTTAGGGGCTTAAGGCTAAAATCTCTACATATATGCATAAGCACACCTAATCTTGTGAACGTGTTTAATACTTCAGGTTCTTGTAGACTAGTTGATACTTGTGAAATTCATCCAATATGTTTTATGTTTCTGACTTGAATTCATAAACCAACAGATATGTCGCTAGCTATTTCTGGAGAGTCATCTTCAATTAGTAAACTAGGAACGTTGTAAAACAAAATGTGTAACCTTTTTGATCTTTTTTCCGTATTTGAAGTACTTGTTTGTGCAGCATTCTATCTTTAATTTTGCTGCGTTGTAGAAATCTTAAAGTTCTGATGTTGTCATTAGGTATGGCCTCCTGAAAATTTTGGATCAGTAGGAAGAGAAGTACAGTAAATCAACCTTTCAAGGTATGCTTGTTTAGAATTTCATGCTTAATATGTTTTTGCTAATTAGGAGGTTGGATCATTTGTTATGAACTTGTGCCATTGCTTTGCAATGTTGTCCTCATTTCACTTTGATATTTGCCTTCATTTCGTCACTGATTTGATTCCTGTGTTCTATATTTTTTTCTCTTTATTTTTCCAAATTAGTCTTAGTGAACTATTTATGCTACTGTCAATTTTTTCAAGAACTTATGAGGGAGGAAGTTATGTGAACTTTATATGTGTTAAACTTCAAGTTCTCACTTAATGAGAGGTAGCAAAATGTTTAGGAATCAAATATTGTGTTTAGGTTTCTTCCTAGTGTTTTTCTTTCTAAAAGTTTTCTGTTTTCTCCCCTGGCTAATTCAAATTTCCTCCTAGTGGTTTTCCTTGTAGAAAATTTGCACATTTTCAGACTAAGCTTCTTGTTTGCTTCATGTTTTATCTAGCGTATTACGTCCAAATGCTAGTTGTATATTTTTGGTTGTGACTGGAAAAATGTGTGCTTGGTAATGTATGACAAGACTATGGCTCGTAATAATGTATCCTCTGCATAATATTCTGATTTTTGTCATGTTTAGTTCTATAAGAATAATATAATGCTGGCATGTGATGAATTTAAATGTAGAAACCTGATAGGTGAGAATTTATATAGCTGATCCCAACTTGTATGAGAAGGTATATATGTGTTGTTGCTTCCCACAACAATGACATATGATTTTGTTGGACCTTGTGATAAACCTGTTTTCCTTGTTGGTAGCTAAAACCGGTTAATGGACTTTACCTTGGCAGATTTGGAGTATGCTTGTAGAGTATTCTCTCACAAGCCTGGATTTTAAACAATTTACTGAAGATGGCAACTGGTGGGTTGCTTTACTACTTTGTTCGAGGTGGAAGACAGGACGCAAGAGCTGTTAAATATATTCGGTTAATGTATTTCTCTAGCTCCAAAGGGTGCACGGTTTTGCATAATTTGCTCTTGAAGTGCCACTGCTAATGCATTAGCTCGAAGGCTTCTTTTTCTATTTTACTTTGTCGTTGTTCTTCTTTCAAAAGAGTCGTTTGGACTAATGGGATTTGGCAGTCACTTCTCGTATAAACTTGAGCCTTTGTAGTCAGTGTTACCGCTGGGAAGTTACATGTACCTGGTCTCTAAGGTGCAGGCAAGCTTTGCCAAAACACAGCACTACATTTTAATTCTCATTTTTCTGATAGTTACATGTTCCTTTAAATAATACAGTAGTAAATTTTTTAATTTTAATTAACTGATGTATATATCCAAAAGCTAGGAGTTAAGCTAGTGGCAAATGGCACTGTGATCGTAAATTAGAATCACGCAGAACACCAAATTATAGGTAAGTCGCTTGAGATGAAAACAAAAAGCAGAGACTAAAAAATGGAAGAAAAGAAATGTTTCAAAAAAATCAACTGGAAAATTGTGATTTGTTCTTAGTATGGTAAAATGGATTTGTCCTTTTAAATGCTGACCAATGGCTAATTAATTTTCTAGAGCAAATTGAATTATATGGCAGACCATATATCATATAATGTAGGATAATCAGATGAAAAGCTTTGAAGGGCAAGAAAAATCTAAAACCTCATTATATCAACAAAAAAGAATCTGTAAAATTTAGAAAGTTCATTGCTATGTACAAGAATCCAAGTTATGCAGGCATGTGTACCCTGAGCAACCACCTTACTTAGTTGCAAGGGGTATTTTTTATCCGTTGAGTTGAGCTTTCTTCGATCACTCAACCACAACACCGACCACTCAACTGAGAAGTTCTTTCATTTTTAGTATTGTCAGTCCTTCACTCTAGCTGAAAATCACCAATCAATTTACAAATTCCATCACGGTGATCATATGGGGCTCGCCCTTGAGACCTGCATCCACAATGCTTAGAACACATTGGTACAAGTTTGTGAATCCATCTAGTGTAAGATAATGAAAAGAGTTCTTCATTGATTTTGCACTCTACTTTCACATTCTCTTTTGGGTTTTGATGTGAGGTTAAAAATAATGCTTGTATAAGTTGTCTTTCAACTGCTAAGCTGCAATTCTGGTGAGTTGGTGGATCTTAACGAAAAATTTAATGGACAGCTAAAATGATTTGTAGCCATAGCTTCACTTACCATGATTTCCCCATCCCTAGTGTAATGTGCCAGGAGATAAATAATTTATTTGCTTCGTCTTGAACTTTTTTCCATTTCATTTAATCAGTGATAGGCTTATAGCCCTTGTAAATGAACATGCATTTTCTACGTGTTCCCTACTCAAGATCATGATGCACACGACTAGAGACAAATCAACAAACAAGGTGTGCATTAGAGTTAAAAGAAGGCAAGAAACCTGATTTTGCACACTTGCAGCAGCTGTCCATCGCTGAGGCTGTACTGTCGCTGAACTGTCATTTATAAAAGCTATTGTCCTCGACTCCTGTTGACTGAAAGTGACAAGTGGAGGTGGTAGTTCTCTCATCACCCATAGCACAAATGCTGAAGGTATAGAAGAACCTGGAAAATATTTTGATCAGGTACAGAGTATTAGAAAGTTCCCCCTTTGTGAATAAAACTCTAATTCGTAGGAAAGAACTGCATTGTAAGATCAGCTGCCCCCAACAAAACATGTACAAGCTACTTGTATTCTTGGTTGAAGTAATTGGAGTCTCCATACCATAGCCCAATACAATGAAGATAGATGCAATTTCTTAAACTAAAGAACAACAACAACATAACCACTGTAATCTTACAAGTGGAGTCAGGGGGAAGAGCAGGAACTAAGTGGGAGGCAAGCAATATCTTGACGCACTATTACTAAATCCCCTCTCAGTCATGCCTCAAATTTTTAAAGAAATATCTGATATTTCACAATCCAGCTCTTATGTTAAGTCCTTACACTATAGCTCCCAACATCTGTTGAATGCATCCAGAGAGACATCTCATAACAACTCAAAATGTTTACGATATTAATGCACTTATATGACATCATCAGAGCAACCTCTGATTGTTAAATTGGTTGCTTCCACCATGTTGAGTTCAGCCCTCTTCATCTAATTAACTACAGTTGGTAGCTCTTAGGTATAAAAGGTGGGCTTCAGGAGCATCTCATAGCTTCTACAATTGGTAACAACAATTAGCAGGCAGAAAGCAGAAGTTCCCACTGAAGTATAGAAATTCAAATCAAGCTTTCAGTAAGGAAAAAGTTTTAAAGGGTACCTATAAAATAATACAAAACCATGAGAAGAGATGTACAAACACCATTTATCTTCTGTCCATGCCAGTTAAAAAGAAGCTGCATTAAAAGCATTATCTTTTAGAAACTTATGCAGTCAAAATAAAAGACGATCTCATGAGACAAGCAGAAGACATACGGGTATATCTGTGAATATGGCGACAGCGGCACTTGAAGTGAAACATAGAACAGAAACAACTGCCAAGCCTGCAACCTTCATTTGACAAACATATAATAAAAAATCGAACTTCACAGTAAAAAGATCTATCACAATCGCTTTGTCAAAAGAAAAAAAAAATCTATTACAATGTGTGACATGAGAGCTAAACTCTAACAAGGAAGAAAAAAAGAGAAAGAAAAGTGCACTTTATTCAAGCTCGGTTCGTAAAACTAGAACTGTAAAAGATCTCAGTATGACATGACATGACATGACACACAAGTTTTCTGCAGTCTGCAAATAACGATTCCAGCTGACATACAGAAAATGGTAGAGATGCACCGAGGAAAGATGAGTTAGTACCTTCCACATTTCTGATGAAGCCCTTTCAGATCTCACTTTGCTCATTTTCAAGAACAATACCAGTCCTGCATAGACGAGATAGTATGGTCAGAAAAGACAGTTTTTGAATAGAAAACCTTCACACAAAATAATTAGAACACAAAAGACCTATTTAAACAGCAAGTTCTTTACGACAACCGTTTCTAGAAATTTCGCACAGCTCGATGAGAAACAGATAATTGGTTGAACAATCAACTCATTCGATCGCGATATTAATGATGAGAAATTTGTCTTTCTGGGGAGACAGCAGATTCACCCCCTAAAACTATCAACCTGCATATCTTATTGTCTAAACTATTTCTGAAATCACTTCTCCACCCCCTTGACCCACATCTGGGGACACACACACACACAGAGGGAGAGAGAACTCTTGAACATTTGTAAATCACTCCTTATTGTTAAATAAAATAACTCAAATCTTTACATCAGCTGATTGTGTGAAGAAATGGTGGATCAAGATGTTAGTTATTACACAAGTACTGAAGTGCCCATGTAAAGATTTATGGTGCATAGTAGCAATAGATAAGATTATATTACTGAAAATGGCAAGACAACAATTTTCTGGGACGTGTGAACATTAATGTGGAACCGGGGATAAATAATACCAGTGTATGATATACTAACCATAGCATGCCAATGCCACTCCCAGCAAAAGAACTGCTAAGGCAAAGAGATCTACATACACCTGGATGAAACTGCACTTCATCAATTATCAAGAGGAAGGTGGGGAGAAGGTGGCAAAGAAAAAAATCACCATGAAACAGTCTAAATTTCTTTTCTCCCAACAATAATTTGAACACCAAAGACTAGTATAGTAAAGCAAATTAAAAAAACAATGCTAATTCATTTAAGCATGAAACGCGTTTTACAAGAACTACCCTTACTCACAGGAGAACACATCCTCACTTTCAAGTTTCAACGACATGCTCCTCCCAATAAATACTAAGAAATAGTTTGGGCTCCAAGTCAGAGGTATATACTTATTTGCGTAATAAAATCTAACTGCAGTTAAAAATGAATATGTGAGGCTCAAAGTAATCTATAAAGAGAACCAACAACTGCTAAATCAAATGGATTAAAGAAAGAATATGTGAAAACCAAAATCAAATAGATTGTGTTATAAAATCTGGTTGCAGCTAAAAATGAATATGTGAGGCTGGAAATAACCAACCACTGCTAAATCAAATAGGTTACAGAATATGCAAGAAAAACAAATAAATAGATACTGGTAATCAAAGAGCCTTGGTCCATACCCGAGCCACAACAGATGAATCAATAGGGTTCCTTCCCCTCCCAATCCATATTAGTACAGCAGCTACCAACATTAACAGAAAAACTAACAGGGTAACCTGGTCAAAAAGCAAATACATGAATTAAGAACCAAATTGGAAAAAGAGAAACACAGTGAGTTACAATGTGTCATTTTTTATGTAGAACATACACACAATGTCTTAAAAGTGGGGGCACAGCAGGGGGTTTGTAGAGTAGGGATTTTGCCACAACGCAGACATATGCCGCACAAAAATTTTGAAAGAATTTTAGAAAAAAATATTTTTTTCAAAAAAAGCCCACTAAAATGTGATATAATTCATAAGCACAAGATAAACAGAAATAATTAAGTACCCAAGTGATAATAAGATGTGTTTATTTTAATATAGTTTCACCACATACTAAATTATAGAACAAAAACACATCGTTTATAAGTTAGCAGTAACATGAATTTATACTCGAATACTAAGAAAAGATATTTGGAGTCACAAAAGGCAGATAACACAAAGCATAAATGTGGGACTAGCCCCACTTATTTGGTTGTTATCTCAAGAGACTTTTCGCCACATGGTTGGCCAGTTGCATTTAAAGCCTGTGAACTGAGCTGCTAAGTGAATCACAATTTTGCCTTTTAAACATTATATGCGCATATTCCATAAACTTTACCAGAACCACAACTTTTTGGCGGCTTCCCACTTTGACAGCACGAAAAGAGCAGCATCTTCGGCGACTATCAGCATTTGAATTTGGCTTGTTCTTCTCCAACAAAGCTTCTCGAGGGCTATATACATCATCTTCATCTTCTTCATCATTTGACTGATGACAAAGATCAACCCTAAATTCATTTACAGAAAAGGATTTTAGACTTCATCAATATTTAATTTCTACATGAAGATAGAGTTCATGGCTTGGACCCCTGCACATTTTCTTTTATTTCAGAGGTTCTTGTATAGTAATATTTTTGTAGATTCAAGTGCAAAAGGATATAAGACGCACGACAACTTTGGCCACCAAGGTTTTGGTCTAAAGGTGAGAACATAGTGTGTGATGTCATGATATGTGGGTCAGGCGCATGTCACGGGTATATATTCCACTGCAAATAAAGAACTGGTATGTAAGTGGAGAAGTTCATTATTTTCTCCTTCTTATACTTATCAGTACTATAATTCTTGTTGTATCGTTACCTTTTTCTTTAAGATTTAGAACTACTGTTATTTCTTTTACTTTGCTTATCTTTTCTATTTTGTTGTCGATATTTTTCTTTTCTTTGATAGTTGCATCATAGTTCTCCTACTCTTGTATTTTTCAAACCTGTTTTGTAAAACACTCTTTCCCATTTTTGAGCCGAGAGTCTATCGAAAACAACTTTACCCCACCATAAAGGTAAGGTAAGGTCTGCGTATACGGTATACCCCACCCTTCCCAGACCCCACTTGTGGGATCACACAGGGTTTGTTGTTGTTGTTGTTTAAGTGGAGAAAGTATAAAGGAGTGTGCCCATTATCAACCAAGCACTGAATGTTGCACCACTGATCGGATATTAAAAAAAAGAGATACATGACAAGTGACAACTTTGTTGGTGTAGAGCAGAAGTATCTATAATCTACAAACAGCACTAGGCTCAAGTAACCTATGTTGCTCAGACTCTTCATAAATGACAATGGGTGCATGTCGGATTCTCCAAAAGTAGTGGATTTTTGGAGAATCCGACACGGGTGTGGCATTGAAAGTGAAGTCACGCAACTTTAGCAAGTAACTGCTATTCACCAAAAGAGGATCATTATTTGGTGTCTCGCAAACTGCTGGTTTTGTCAGCTTACTGATTAAAGCAACAGGTACTGCTTCTCTGCCCCAAGATTATTTTCTGGAATGAAGATGACTGAGAAAAAATAGGAAGATCATGATACTGAATTTCCCTCATAAATTAGTTTCTTTTCCTCAAAATTAGAATTATAAAAAGAAGGTAAATCGTTAAATTCACAACAATAATTTTCACTCGTTAAAGGATATAGAAAACAGAAGGCGAACTTACCAGAAAGAAAGGAGAAGAAGAAATGCCGCAAGGAAAAGAATTTTGGGGAAAGCTGCAAAATAGTTTTCATAAGTCTTAGTTAAAATAGCCTCAGTTGAAAAAGAACGGCGGGTTTGCACATACCCATAACGACAAAGCCACAGGAGTGCGACCAGAAAATCCAACCATTACATGCGGCAACAATTGTCAAAATAAAATAAAGGAAATAACCTGCAGGAGAATTAAATTCATTATGAAATGCAACTAAATTCAAACAGATCACTTGCTGGACAGTAACTTACTTTATCATTATGAAATGCATAGAAAGCAAAAAATAAAAGATAAAGGTAAGGTATTAAAGATAATTGTATACACGAGCACAGGTGGTTTATCAAAGTTCCATGTCCAAATTAGCTTATACACTTTGTGCCCTTAATTTCTACCAAACGAGAAGCTAGATCTTCTACAATGACATACCTAGTGGGGTCTGGGAAGGTTGGGGTGTACACAGACCTTACCCCAACCTTGTAGAGAGGTTCCTGATAGACCCTCGGATCAAGAAAAACATTTTCGAAAACAGGTTTGGCATATACAAGAGTAAAAGCTATTGTAAAAATATTGTAGAAAAGAGTAGTACTGAAAACAAAAATAGTGAAGATAACCCAAGTAAAAGAAACAACACCAGTGATCTAATTGAAGAATATGATAATAATAGTAATGATACTTTAACACGTCATCTCAAACTCAATGAGGTAAATAACTGAGCTTGTTTACTTTGAAAACAAGATACTATAAAATCAGCCCAAAATCATAACCCACCCAGCCTGTTTAGATTCGGACAGATTAATAACCCACTTATTTTATTAAGCGGGCTCATTTTGACCCGCTTTGTTCAACTCATTTTAATACTGGGCTGAAACGCAGCCTGCATGTTAATATCTTACTTTGTTACAAAGAACAAAACAAATGAATTGTTACTATTAGGAATAGAAGTTAGAATGCAGTGCAGCAGAAACTTAAAGCAGCAAATTTGCATCTAAATTAGAAAACTGGCATGATCTTTGAACTTAATTTACATCGTCTTACCTCTAAATATCTCATCTAGTTGTGTATCTACCAACTCATTTGTCTGAGTTAGTTGTTTTTGTTCATAATTATGTTTTCTGGTGCTGGATACATATTTCTTTCTTCTATTTTTATAGATTGCACTAGATTAAAATCCTTCTTACTTCGTATCAGCACATTTTTCAGAAGAACCCACATTTTAATTACGTTTAATTAAAGCATAACATGTTGCTTTTCAACACTTCCACCATTGAGTCAAATGTTAGTGAGAAGCTACACAAGGAACAAATATCAAGAATATTTGCTAGTTCTCTATGTACAAAACTCCGTTACCCCATGAGTTCTGTACATAGAGAACTAGCAAATATTCTTGATATTTGTTCCTTGTGACTACGCTTTGATGTAGTATACATGTGGATATATAGAATTAACTTTACCTTTCTCAAAAAAAACTCAGTTACCCCATATGGATGAAAGGTTTGCAGGAAGCTTGTATTCCCATAAATGATAAAGAAAAGCGACATATTACTTAATCTTGCCCAACTTCATATTTTCCAAATTAATCTAAGTCATATCATTGCATTAACTCTTAAAATTGCTTATCATTTTGTGCTTCACATTATTTAATCTCTCCCATGTGCATTCAAAACAAAATATGCATCAACAATTGGCTTAAGAAACTCAATATTATGAGTAAGAGTGCAAATATTTTCTTTTGATAAGAGCTCCCGGGGAGATCTCAGGGAAAAATAATCCATAGATAGAATGATGATACAACAGAGAAAATAAGATGCTTACCCAAATTTGAAGATCCAATCATCAAGTGAAATACCTGCAATTTCATAGCGAAGTCCAGTAAGCATGATTTGTAATTAGCACATAAGTGAACAAGAAGGAAGCCTCATTGAATCTACTAAAGAATTTTTTTTAAGGCTAACCAGGACAAAAGGAAGAAGAATCATTGAAAAATCTTGATGACTGTCGCTTCATAGCAGTAAACTAAACTAATTAAGGCAATATATTTCCAAATTCTAATATATGTGTATATCCTCCAAGAGATGTAGTGCTACCTCAGAGTTGATGAAGTCTTTTATTTGTTATTACACGGAGCTAGTCTATGTAGATATTATCAAGTTTAGCCCAGTTTCGTTTCCAATTGGTATATCAAGCATGCGCCACTTCACAGTCAGGTATTAGAAGAACAAGGAGGTAAACTGACTCTCGTTTTTTGGTAGTGCCTTCAAATGAGTGGAAGAAGCGTCTTGTTGCACCATACTTGGATCATTTCATGCAGAACAAGACTCCTCGATATTCACTAATTTCAGCTATTCAAAGATGCATTTGTGTTCTTTTGAAGAAGTAACATCACCAGAATATTCAACCCAATCTGCACTACACATTGTACCACTTGGCTGGAAGTTAACATGGTAGAACGTAGCAGTGGCCAGCATTTACCGGTTAACTCCACAAGACGATCACTACTATGACCCTGACTGTTACAGAGCTCAATATCACCATTATCACACTCGTAAAACCTCCATGGTCAATCATCAATAGACTGATCTTGCACCAAGAACTGAGCATAGACACCCCTCATCTCTAACACCAAAGAATTTAGATGTGAGCATAAATGAACCACTAATACCATAATGGCCAAGTAATTAGGCTGGGTTTAATATCCTGAAGTTTGGATTTGTACTCATCAGAGGACTGAGAGGGGAAGAGAGATACATTAAGAGAGTACAACTAGATCACATGGAAAAAATTGGAGACTAACCTGGTATGAATACTAAAATTTTGAAAACCTACATGATGAACAGTAATTTAGGCAATGGTTATCAAAAAAGAAAATTTTAGGTAATAGTTATCAAGTTGTAGAAACGGAGGATAAGGATCGTTACTCATTACTATGGCAATAGTGAGAAAGAAGCAACTTAATACCACAACTGTAAAGGAATCTGAAGTATATTTTCGCTTCTGAAGACCACTGTTATGTCACCTGAATTATCTAATATTATTAAAAAGAGATGATAAGTCACCTGAACCGTAAATGCTAGGCACGCGTTTTGAACATTATAATACTAATGGTTTAGACAAGAGTATTTAGTTGAATATCATCAACATGGGTTCTGGGACTTTTCACATTCTCCTCTCTTCTACACTCTTAATAGGTAAACCGGCAACATAAGTGAGGAGCTTGGCTGGAAGGAAAACAGATGAGGGAAGTGTTCCTAATAAGTATGCAAAAATAAAATAAAATAATACCAAGTACCAACAGTAATAGAGCTCACATAACCAGTCATTTACTCAAACTATACTCCCTATACGCACACCTCCTCCACGATTTTATCCTTGTCACTTATGGTTAATGTAAAGATACAAATGATTACACACATGAACATGCATACCTAAGTCTTAGTTGCCGAAGAAAACTACTATTATTGTAATTGTGGTGTTTAGACCAGTTTGCGAGCACTTCGACTACCGCACACCAACACAAATACAGGGTAACTTTACCCTCTGAGGCTTAGGCAAATGGGAAGAACTCACTTAGGAGTCTTTGTCTCTTCTATGTTCCATGGTTTTCATCTTCATTGACAGTTAGGCCACACCCTCGGTGCAATTCCCAAAGAGAATTAACAACACCCAAATCACAGTAACTTTCGGTATCAAAGGGAAAGTCGGTCGCATATAAGCATCTAGCAACATGCTTCATTAGTATATTTGCTATTCATAATTGGAACTAGGCAAAAAGTGTCGGCAGCAAATTGGCCTGCTTTCACATTGTTCAATAATTACTTAAACCTTGGGAAAGTACTTTAATTTAAAGTAGGAGGGACAGAATGTTTTCATCCAGCTCAGATACCAATAAAATCAGCAAGAGAATCGAGGATGAAATACTTACTTTCTGACGAGTCCAGCCATTGTGTGTATTCCGAGAGTGAATTCTCATTAACTGGAAAAATAGATAAGCAAGTTTAGTTGCACAAAAATATGATGGCACAATCTATTTAACCAGAAATTATCACTACCACACTGGAAATGTGAGTGTCATTAACAGCACAAGAATATACTCTAATAGAGTTGCACCAATATTATGCAACCACGGAAGGCACGAGCAGCAACCTAAACAGAAGCACCAAACTGGTTTGCAGCCATTCGATTGCTTCAGTATCCCAAGGTTAGAATTGAGCTAGATTAAGGTTTCCTCTTTTTCAGTTAGTCACCCAGTTGGTGTCAAAAAGTACTCTGCTCGATTCATTCCTCATCTTCACAATGGTCCTAGATTGTAGTTGAATGCTGATAACTCATTGACAACATCAAACTCTCCCACAACCCCCACCCCCTGCCTCTCTGGTTTTCAATCTTAGCAACTAGTCATATTAAGCAAGCACCTAAATTAAACAGTGATCCTCCTTTATGCCGCCTAAGGAGCTAACAAAGTGTAAAAGCTGGTCAAAATTATTCAGAATATAATGGTTACTCCAGAAAAAAATGTTCCCAAGACATCCATACTTCAAAGCATGAATAGGAGAAGAGGCTCCTTGAGAAGCATATTCTGCTATTTCTTTCCAGCCATAGGCACCAAAAAATAAAATAAAAGCTGGAACAGTCTGTCAAAACTTTTTAATTGTTCCCTTACATTCTATTGTCCCCACTTATGTATGTGCTTTTATGCTATGACCATGAGGCATAACTCATTGAATGACAAAAGGACAGGAATATACTTCCATATATCGGCTGCAACTGAGCAATGCAAAAACAAGGCATATGTAACATCTTCTGCCGAGGGATGTGTCAAACACCTCCTTTAAGAGTTACCAAGCCGAAGAAACAATTTCTTTATTCAAGTGGGACAAATAATCAAGGGACTCTTAACGATTTCCATCTTGAACCAATCAAGATACATGAGGAGAAGACACTTATACTTGTAGAAGAAAACCAATCTAGCCCTCCCCTTGGACTAATTATAGAGTAGTTTGCTGGGAGGCAGTGTTTTTGAGAGCATGAAGCGCAAAAAAGCAACAAAAGCTCCCTTCACTCTCTTCATTGAAGTGAAGCACCATTTCAAAAATAAAATAAACCTCGCACATATGAGTAAAATAACTAAATCAAAAAAGACATCAACAGAAATAATATATAGAAGCAAATCTTTCAATTTTAAAACTAGAAAGTTGATAGCCAGAAATGCTTGATAGAACAAGCAAAATAAAAAACAAAACATAAATGGATGATGCCATTGAAAAAATTGATGGCTCTATTTTGCTCAGATGATACCATTTGAAATTGCTGTTAAGAGAACAAAAAATTAAAAAACAACTGTAATTCAAAAAAAGCTACTGAAAAAGAAGAGAATAAAATGAATATGAGAAGAAAATGGAAATAAAATAATTAAAATTAGACACAAGAAGTACACGCAACACATGAAAGAAAAAAAAAGAAGAAGACAACAAATAAACAAAATCCAAATAAATTAACATACTGAAGAAGAAAAAAAAGAGAAACAAATAAAGAATATAAAAGCTGAAGAAGACCGAAACAAGAGAAGAGAAAAAAAGAAAGCAGCAGCAAAAAAAACATAGCAGCATGGTAATAATAATAATAATAATAAGAAGAAGAAGAAGAAGAAGCAGCAACACAGCATAGCTGGAGCTTGAAGAAGAAGAACTGGAGAAAGTTGCAACCTAAGTCGCAGAAAGCTGCACCAAGCAGTGATGAAATATTTTGATACAGGTCTGCAATGTCTTTTTCTTCTTAAGAAGTAGACTTTTTAAAAAATAATTAGAAAAAGGGAATGCTTCCTCACTGCAGTTAACCATCATCCACCATGATCTTGGGATATGAAGTGGGGTACGTCAGTTAACCTTCAAAGATACCTGCAGCCATTTTTTGGAGTATCTGGAACGAAAGGAATAGAAGATGCTTTGATGGAATCAACTACCTACCAATCTTTAAAAGCTAACTGCCTCATGTTTTTGTATAGTTGGGTTTATTTATCCCCTCTAGATTGCCCTGATTTCTGAACCATGTCCGCTCCCTGATTCTCAATTAACAATGTAAAGGAGAGCTGACCTTTTGCTACTAAGCTTTTCTAACTATTATGCATCTACTTGATGCCTGCAATAGAACTAATTACTTCATCAAAAGAAAAAAAAAACCTTCAAAGAGGTCATGCCTAAAGGAGGAGGAGTAAGGAAGATATTTGGAGATTCGGTTTGCAGTTCAGGAAGCATTGACAACAACATGGATGGGAAAAAAAGATCCATACCCTGAGTTATGCTTACACCATATTAGCTTTCAATTAAAGGTTATCCCAACGTACCAAGTTTTTGCTTTAACTGCATTTGGATAGTGAACAAAAGGATCACAAAATTCTGTTAGAGTACCGGATATCTCAAAAGGAAAAGCAAGGTACTCTCCTGCCTTAAACAAGAGCCATTAGCTCTAAAAAATTGGCTACTTTCTGAATAGCTTTCAAACTATTCTTTGGAATGATATCTTGCACTCTCAATGAGAAAGAAGAGTTTTACACGTATCATCTCTGGTCCAAAATTGAAATATAAGATCTCTCTTCTTTTTTTTTTTTTACTACAAGGGAAACCCGCAGCTACTACCCTTTTGGGTGCGCACAGGGTAAAACCCCGCTCCTATGCAATAGCTCGCAAACCACATAGGAGAGGTAACCCGCACCAGGCGATCTCGACCCAGAAGGCATACCCCTTGCTTTCGCTGGCAAGGGGTTTCGAACTTGAGACCTCCAACATGGAAGTCCCAAGCTCAAACATATAAGATCTCTTTGTCATGAATAAAATTAGTACCCACAATCTTCTTGATTCTCCGAGAATCATTTAACAATATAATTTCAGATAAAATTGTTTTTTATTCCATTTTTAATCAAATAATATGCAAGCGTAGGACTAATATGGTATTTGATAAGCATTAACAGAAAAACAACACATGGTTGAATCCCAGTAGTCTGCTTCAAGAACAATCCCAATTTTAGCCCATTCTCAAGGACATCAAAAATCATGTTCACCTACACAAATGCAGAGCGGGTATACGAATACCAATGATTCAAAAGTTCCACATTTAGCTAGTATCTTAGATGGTATTGTAACAATGAAACTAACCATTTTCACCAAATGCAGCAAAATCTATTGAATGTGGAGATAATAATCATATACTTAATGCAATCTCCATGGGTAATCATATTGGCCATAAATGCCATAATACTGGTAAAGTCCCTCAAAACAGTGAAAATCACTTCTCGATAACTCCCTAAATGTTGCTGCAAGCCCTATATGACAAAACATATCACAATTTGGCCCAGAAAAACTGCATCCTACTCCTCCCAGAGAAGAGGAAGAGAAATCATAGTAAAAATCGCTATGCAAGTGATCTATGGCAAAGTCCCCGTGAAAAATAAGCTTTCTGCTTCAGAAAATCCATATTCAGAACAAGATTACATTTGGTCTCTTCGAATCGAATCTTTGCAACTTTAAATTACTAAATTCAGCAGAACTTGTCAAAGAGATACACTACTTATTATATTAAACTATGCATGACAATGGCAGAAAACTGTCTCAAGAAAATGCGTCTGTATAAACCCATGATAAATTAGAAAGCAAAAAACTTAACCCCATTGTGACAAATGAACTTACATTCCTTCGAATTCAAGCATATTAACGGAATTGACAACACAGAAACCAGAAACTAATAAGCCACAGGAAGAAAATTTAGCAAAAGGACTCAATTTTTCAATCAATATCACAAACCTAGCCGAAACAGCACCTTTCCATTGCCCATCACAAACAAGATTATCATTCAGAATCCATTAAAACCCTTCAAAAATCCCAATTGGAATGCATTCCCAAAATCCCAAATTGGGAACAAGAAACGAACACCCAACACAAAAAATTCCAATAATCAATACAGAATTTTTAGCAGAAACTCCACATATATAACAACACCCTCTGAAACAATGAAGAACAGGGGGGAGAGAAGAGTACCTGAGCAAAAGCAAGAACTGCAATAACGGCATCGACAGAAGCAAGACCCACATTCACTCCCATTAAAGCCTTAGGATAACAAGTCCCTTCTCTCCACTCAATCATGTTCTTCTCACTCTTTTTCTTTACCTTTTAAAAAACCATCCACTGCCTCAATCCTTCTTAGCCCTTTCCCCTCTAATACAGAGAAAAAAACGTGGACACACAATATGATGATAAGCTTATATATATATATATATATATATATATATATATATATATGTATATATGTATATATATGTACCCAAAACACTTACAACAAACAAGTCTTGAAGTAAGTAAAAAAGAAAATGAAATGGTATCCAAAACGATACTCTCCTAATTCCCCTTACTTTTTTTTCTCTTTATGCAGCCTCGATGGTATCTTTTTCTTTGAATTTGCTGCAGATCTGCCGCTGAATTCTTACCTCAAACACTCCCTTTATACCCCTTTTTCTCTCTCTCTCCCTCTGTAGACAAGAGTTGAGTTGGCCCTTTTGGGGACCGAGTACGAGTCCCTTTGTCTTGATGCCACGCTGGTGGCTTTCAACAATTCTTTCTTCTTTCATAGAAATACAAACCCGTAGTTTTACTCACCAGACATTTGAATATTTAGTTCTATATTAAAATTTTGATTAAATTTAAATTACGTATATTTTAGTAAAAGAGTTTAAATTTATAGCTTGTTTAATCATACAATATAATATTATGAGATAAAATTAAAGTTTTGTTTAGATAAGTCATACGAATTTTGTATATATATTTTCTCATAAACATAAGAATCTTATTAGTGTAAAACTATTAAAATGACATCAATTGTTTATTCAATATCCAATAAATAAAAATTTTAAGATCGCATAATAAATTATTGTAAAGTTATATGTTCTCCACGTAAGTAACTTGTTTCATCTAATTTTAACTGATTAAACTTTAATAGTAATACAATACAATAAACTAAATATAAATTGTAGTGTACTAGTTTTTCATATAATTCTCTCACGTAGTACGACAATCTCCTCGTGTTTAACTTGCATTTCTTGATCATATGACCGAGAAGATAAACCGACATTGTTACTTTGAGTCATTTGTTGTTCAATATCATTCGCAACTCTATTTTTCATGCTCATATATCATAAATGTTTTATCATTCCTTTGGTATTCCTGCAAATAATTATGTAACATTGCACATGGTATGTCGATTTTCACTTGTGCGTCAATATCATATGGTTTATGTCTTATTTCACTTGTGTGTAATTACACATTTCAGTGCATTAATTTCGTGTTAAAAACAAAACATATTGGAAATAGCGATTATCAAACATATATTACCAATCAAATCTTACTTTATCATTTATATTCACCAAATTGAAAGCAATAATAAATATTATGTTGGTGAAAATAAAAATTTTAAAAAGTAATGATGTGATTATTAATTTTATTACATATGAAATAAATGTTCACTAAATTTAGTGTGAGGTTGTTTTAACAAAATATAAATTTATGGATCAACTTTTGTATTCAAAAAATCTTAAACCATGATATGAAATTTCAATATCATGATTTTTGAAGAATATGATATTTCATGAGATGAAATTAGCGTAAAATTATGTCAAAATGTTGATTTCGTTTCACAATACCATATCATGCATGGCCAAAAGCCTACTTAATATCTATGAAAAGTGGAGAGTCTCATCACTCCAACACAATTCATGTCGGTCAAACATTGGACATATGTGTAAAAATTGAAATTATGTGGGACGCTCCAACACTAGAACACGTATTTGATTCAAGTGTGTTTGATTATAATTTTTGATAATATGATGAAAGTTTCGTCTGGTTTCAAGTAGTATATTTCGTGATTAAAGATGAAATGTGTTGTTCCACTCGTCTTCAAACACCTAGGAAGATTGAGAACAAAATAAGATGTCATTTGTTGTTGTTGGACTGACTCATGAAATATTTTGAATTTGGATTGAACATATGTGTACAAATTGAAATTTCGTGGGTCGCTCCAACACTAGAACACGTATTTTGTTCAAGTATGTTCGATTCTAATTAGGATTCTTGAAGGGGACTCAACTCTAAGGGTGTGTTTGGTACGAAAGAAAATGTTTGCATGAAAAATATTTTTCTAGAATATGTTTTTCTGGAAAACAAGTAAATTTTGGACTTATTTTCTCATGTTTGGTTGGTGAAGGAAAAATATTTTACGTATGTTTGATTTATGTATGAAATTATTTTTTGGGGGGTTGGGGGTGGGTGGGGGCTGGCCGGATGGGGGGTAGGATTTTAAAAATAAAAATTTGGAATTGAAAATATTTTTAAAAAGCAAAATTAATTTTTTGGGGAGGGGGTGGGGTTTGGGGGGCTGGCCGTGGTGGGTGGGTGGGGGTCGGGGATCGGGTGAAAAAATAAAATATTAAAATTGAAAATATTTTTTTAAAATTGATGTTTTTCGAAAAAAATGTAATTTGAAATTGGAGGAGAGTTTTGAAAAATGTTTTCCTTAATTTTTGAAGGGAAGTCATTTTCCTTAATTTTGAGGAAAATGAGTTGATTTGGAAAATATTTTCCAAAACTTTTGTCCCAATCAAACATGAAAAAATTGAAAAACAATATTTTCATTCATACCAAACACACTCTAAACCATAGTCCATCCTTATATAAAGACTACTACATTTCCTTAGAAAAACATATCGAATATTCTAATAGTCCATCCTTATATAAAGGCTATTATGTTTCCTTGAAAACACATCTCCAATATTCTAACACAAATTTATGCAAAATTCATTAAAGAGATCAAAATTTAAAAAAATCCACCACAAATTCATGAAATATTCATAAACAGATCAAAATTTTAAAAGTTTCACCACAAAAGAGATTAGAATCTAGAAACTTTCACCACAAATTCATTGAATATTCATTAAAGAGACCAAAATCATAAATATTCCACAAATTCACGAAATATTATTCATCAAGAGATCAAAATACCAATTAATATTTCAAATTCATGAAATATTCATAAAACAGATCAAATCTAAATTATCATAGTTCAAAAAATACACACTTATTAAGTTTAAATCATCGTAATTCCAAAATCTCCGAGGTGAATAATGTTAAAATTTTCATTTTTTTGTTAGTTACATGTTCTATTTAATAATACAGTTGGAAATTTTTTCATGTTAAATAACTGCAGCATATATCCAAAAGTTGGGAATTGAGTGTATATTGTTGTCAATTTGTGTTTGAAAAACAGAATTACTAATTCTGATAAAACTTTGCAGAAACACAAAGTAACTAATGTTTTCAGAATCAATACAAAAGATGAACAAAAATCAATTAATGAATAAATTAAAATCTGTAAAAACACGTACCAGAAAATTTTGAATAGGAAAAAGATCAAGTTCACTGAACTCACAATGTCCTCTTAAGGAAATTATTCCCCTCTAGTATCCGAGGTTTGATTTGGAACATGACCTCACAGGGTAAAATAATCTCAATCACCAAAGTATAGATACCAAAAGCCCTGGTGTCAGCGAACCAATCAACAGCAGGAAAGTACACTAAGAAAATTTTAGTACAGAAGAAGAAGAAGAAACTCAGAAAATTAGTAAGGTAATATTCTGAAGAATGGGTGGTATTTATAGGCAAGAAGAACAGGTTCCAAAAGGTTGCAACCCTTTTAGAATTCACACGACCATTAATGAAAGTTTGCAACCTTTCAAATGGTGCTGACTGTCCTGAAAGTTGCGACTTTTCAGAACAGTCATAGCGGGAAATTGAAATAAAACGGAAAAGTTGAAATAAAACGGGTAGCGCATGGATCCCAATCGGATCAGATAATAAGATCAAACGTTTCAGTTAATTTTCAACTAAATAACTGAAAATGTTTCTGTTATCAACTAATTAATTGAAAAAAATACTTTTTCGCCATTTAATTAATTAAATAAATAAATAAAACAAACTTTATCCAAAAAATAATCTCTCGATCGATCATTTGCCGAAGCCGAAGTCGAGACGAGCGAGTGACGACGACAGCGCGAGGGGATCCCTCTTTCCAACCCTTTTAACAATTAATAAGAGTGTTTCTGTATTTAAACTCTCCTATTTTTCTTTCCACTAACGATGAGGGACAAATGTCTTTTCATTAAAGCATAAGAAGACTTTTCAAGTTCCCAACTCTTCAAGTTCTCTACTTTTCAAATTCCTCTCTTTCCCTCAATTTCTCATCAACTCTTTCCCTCTATTTCCCGTCAATTCTTGCTACATACCCAACAATCCCCCACATTGATGGGAAATGATTATAACATAGGAATGCACGGACAATTGTGTACTTTACAGACAAGGATTAATTGCATCTGGATAAGTAGGTTTCCCCTTGGACTTTCCGTGGTGAACATATGTTGGATATAATCGGTCAATCGGTAGATGTGATATCTTTAAATTGTCGAGCTTTGGTATACCTAGACAACCATATTTCACACAATTAACTCTTTACTGTTTATGGTTGTTACAGTTGTGTTTGTTACAGCCATGAACACCTTCTGGTTTCATGAGTATACAGAGAATAGGCTTTTGACATAAAATTCTCTTTGAAGCGGCTTCCACTTCACACTCACATAAGTGATTTCTAACCGTGTCATCTCGTAGATATACTATTTGGTCAAATTTATCAAACTTAGCGAATCATTAAAAACTTTAAGCTTTATTACCTCATTAACAAGCCTTAAAGTCTTAACCTTGTTCTTAAACATTGTCTTCATCATGAGAATGGATTGAGTTAATTGACAATGTTGAACCGTCAGCCACAACTTTATTTTTTTCCTTGAATCTAGCTCTTGGAACTCCAGTCTGCTAAATAGAGTTACCGTCGTACTGACTTGTCCTAAGCCGTAAACCCATTCCCTTAGATGATCTTTCAACTGCCTCTCTCACTAGGCCTTTTTTTAGTGGATCTGACACATTATCGCTTGACTTTACATAGTTAATTGTGATAATTTCACTAGAGAGCATTTATCTTACGGTGTTATGTCTCTGTCATATATAACGAGACCTTCCGTTGTACATAACGTTCCCTCCCCTACCTATTGTTGCTTGACTATCGCAATGTATGCAAATAGGTCCAACATGTTTGGGCCAGAATGAAATATTCTCTAGGAAATTTTGGAGCCATTCAGCTTCTTCACTAACCTTATCCAAAGCAATGAATTTAGATTCCAGTGGAGCGAGCAATACATGTCTGTTTGGACGATTTCCAAAAGACTGCTTCTCCACCAAGTATGACGCATAACTACTCGTGAATTTTACATCATTTGACCCGGTGATTCAGTTTGCATCACTATATCCTTCAATCACACCAGGATATTTATTATAATGCAAAACATAATGTTGTATATATTTTAGATAACCTAACAAACGTTTCATTGTCATCCAGTGAGTTTGATTCGGATTACTAGTGTACCGACTCAGTTTACTAATAGCACATGCTATATCTGGTCGCGTACAATTCATAATATATATCAAACTTCCCAACACTCTCAAATATTCCAATTAAG